AAAGAAGCAATCAAAGAAAATACATAAACTATATGAAGCTTTCCGAGGTAAAAGTAAAAGCGTTCAGAAAGGTATTGAAAGGTCAGAGATAGAAAATTGATAATGGTAGATCAACAGAACTGGACAAAAAATTTAAACATACAGAATCAAGCAACCAGAACAAACAACAACAGCGTATAACCTACATCATGCGAGAAGATCTGAGCAAAAGTAAAATATCCACACCAATAAAAATTGCAGATTCCCAACTTGCACATATATCAGTCTAAAAATTTATTCTCAAAGCCTCCGACGGAATTGAGAAACTTTTGTTGTTACTGAAACTGGGAAAAGATCATGTCATGGAACAAAAAAATTCCTAGACCATCTCTTTCTTGCTCGAATCAACTTTCAAAAACTAGTTGACAAACCAAATATTTCCTTTAGCTTTTGTGAGAAACTTTCATCACCACTGAAACTGGGAAAAGATCATCTCTTGGAACAAAAAATTCCTAGTCCATCTCTTGCTTGCTTTATCAATCGTGAATCAACTTTCAAAAACTAGTAGGGAAACCAAATATTTCCTTCAGCTTTTGTGGAACTTAACTTCATAAAAATATTTTTAAAAGATTATCCTACCTGAGGAATCGCATCTATATCAACTACACATATAGAGTATACACATGCATATAACAAAATGTCATTCTGAAGTCCATTGAATACTGAAGATAAACCTAATTCCAGCAAGATCACATTCTACTTCGGTCTTTGCATGACACCTATAAAAGGCACATAAAATTCATCACACCAAAAGCTTTTGAAGCATAGAAGTCACTAAAATAGGCCCCAACACTCTAGATATGGTTGAGGTTCAAATCTACCAAGAAATGAATGTCCACGCAACACTTTTCTTTCAAAAAAAAAAAATTGAACATCCAAGCAACTTATTTGATTGAGACTTCATTGGGAAAATGAACATCCTCCATTAACATCATAAAAGAATAATGAATCCAATCAAAATCTTATTTTGCATCTTTTCAACTTCTCTCTTCCTTTCTGTTCACAAAAGAATAAATAAATAAATAATCCAATCAAATCTTACTTTGCATCTTTCTAACTTCCCTCTTCATTTCTGTTTATTAATTTTTTTGTTCCCTTTTTCGTTCGGGTGGGGACATGCAGTAGAAGACCTTTTATTTTTAAGCAGGAAAAGATATCATAGACAGAACGCCTTTTCTTTAGCCGAAAACTTTTTATAGATAGAAATTTTATCAAGAAGTTTGGTCCAAGCAGCACCCACTTATCACTAGATCAAAAAAGCTTCAGCCAAGTTGGTAACCTAGAGAAGAACATCTGATAGCAAATATTCTAGGCAAATACTATTAATCATTAGCAATAATCAAATGTTCTCAAACTTATCTTACTTGACGAGCAGCTGCTTTTGAGATCCAGGTAGGAAGCAAACAAGGAGTGTTATTTAGTGCATCATAAGATGTCTCTTTTGCCTTTCCACAGTCTAGCACAAAAACCACATCATTGATGGTGATACTGGTTTCAGCCATATTAGTAGCCAGAACAATTTTCCTAACTCCATCTGGAGGCTTATCAAAGATTAATCTCTGTGCACAGAATACAATAACAAAAAATTAGCATAGTCGCAATCAGTAGAAGGTAGAAAGCAATTTCATTGAAAGAAAAGTACCTAGAGGATGCTTCCCCTTTATAAAAATTTAGAAAATAGAACTTCACATAACTTATTTGTAAGAAAAATATTTGAAGTTAAAGAAGAAACTGCATCAGGTGAAATCAGGTAAG